TTCAATGGACCAGCTGAAGTCAGTGTTTAAAATAAGGTTATTTAAAAATCAACCCTGGTAACAAGCTTTATTTTTCCTTGTACGATTTGAATTTGGATTAAGAGTATAATTGCTGCAGACTTAATAGTAAGAAGAGGAAGACATCATCATCGTCATCATCATTATCCATATCTTTTAGTGGAGGCTAGTAATATTTTCTACAAAAGCTCATATTTTTAGCTTTTGCGTTTGATTCGTTTATAACAGTCTGGATCACCTGCTTTATCTCATACCTGTTTGTAATTTCATTATTTTTAATATCTGTTTTCATCAAAACACTTTAGTGAAGATGGTAAATGGCACCGCTTTATGTTTTAGTGTGAGTGTGTCACAATTCTAGATGCTAACTGCAGTAATGTTTTAACCACCCCCCTGTTTCATGCAACTGTAGAACCCTCGTTCGTGTCTGTGTCTCTGAGCTCCAGCACTGTCTCCACCCACTGTGAGGTTAAGCTTCTCGGTGCAAACGGCTTCTGTTATTCTCCGCACACAGAGATCAGAGTGACCAGAGTTGGTGCTCTCACCTCTCATTTATTTAATAATTCATGCAGCAGTAGCTGCTCGGCGACATGTGATGTGAGAAGTCCTGGACTGCGGTACAGGATGCCACAGAGCAGAGGGAGAAAATTGACTTAGTGCATTTACATGTGTAATGTACAGCAGATCTGATCTGTACGTTTTGAATGTAACATATTTTGTGCTTCACTAAGCGTATCTATTATACCATACCTGACTGAGATCAGATACATATACTATATATATATATATGTATATACTGTTTTTTATGATCCTTTATGTTATCAGGTTTGAAAAACGATTCATGCAGGGGGATCTTTGATGCTTTGGGATCTAGTTGTTTGTTTTATTTCACTGCTCAATTTCTCAGCTTTTACTTTTGACATTTATACAGTGACCTCTACAGACGCAAACCGAATAAAACCAAACCCTCTCCAACGGGCAACATCTGCTGCGGTGCACATACTCCAACAAAACGTCATGAGCAGCACTTTGACAAATGAAACACAGAGAGACATTTTTCTTACTTCTCCACTTGACAGTGTGAGTTTGATGATGATACTGCTTGCATTTACTGGATGAGCAATATCCCTGCTGGTGTCCTTGAACACAACAGTAAGTTTTCTGCTGATCTCTCCCTTTTATTTTACTAGGAAACGAGCGGAAGGCAAATGGTGTTCCCATGAAGGATCACTTTACATTACAAGCTGTGATAAGTGATGAATGACGAAATCGAGCAACTCCGGCCATAAACGTCTTCATCTATTATCCCCGTTTCAACACGGTGCTGAAAATACATGTGCCGTTTTGGCCGAGAACAGGGTAAAAGGAGAGAAAATGGAGATGTGGATAAATGGACGAGGAGGAGATTATCCTACATTTATTATGGTGGGCAAAATTAAAGAGGAGAGGTAATCATTTTTATCTCCAGAGAAAAGGGAGAGGGTGCTATTCTTAGATTTTACCACCAGGGCTGTTTGACGGGGGGTGGGCTCTGTTCTTCCAGACTATGGTGTTATCAAACACATGGGAATGGAAGATGCTAACATTAACGTTGCTAAATACTCTTTGAGGACAACAAGCCCTGAAGACCCAGCACTTGTCACAGTTAACCGGAGGGGGATGCTTCCTGTGAAGAAAATAAATCAAGTATATAAAAACTCCCCTAGGGTGACTTTCTTCTCAATATTTTTTATTTGGTTTCTGTGATATAAAAAATGTCATCTGTTTATTGTTCCCTGGAGCGGAATGAATGATGTCAGCAATATTCAGCCTTCATATCTGGAAATACTATAAAAACTGGGCAAAGGCTTCTCTCCAAAGAGACTGATGAGAACTTCTGCAGGTGAAGATAAGTGAAAAGCAGTGAGTAATGGTATTAATATTAATATTATTAGCATTTCCAGTGCTGCAACTGAGATGCTTTCCGTCTTTAGCCAATTAAAACGTATTATTGTAACTTGTTCTTTAAAATGATTCTACTGTAAAGTAGTAGAAGTAAAATGTCCAACAAAAATCCAATCATTTAATGGGCTTATTTTTCCTGTTATAAAATTTAGTGTGAGTGGGGGCTCACCGGTCATCTTCCTGTAGTCCTAATGGTCTAAAGTGTACTCTACCCTCCCCTTTTGTCTCCAAGAACTGGCTTCATCTCCACCTGCCACCCTAAAAAATAAGTATTTGGTTGAGTGTTTACTCATTAAATAATCACATGAATAAAATGTATATATCATATATCATGTCATTGATGAAGAAGGTGGGCTGTTAAATAAAAAGGGTTTAGTTTAATATGACCTGTCTAAATCACATGACAGTGTTTTTGTGTTTCATTTTGGACAGACTTCCACGACCACCAGCTGAAATCTGAAGCAGAGGCCGGGCCGCTGAAATACCAGTCAAACTTCGACCTTGTCTGTTTTTGAGCTGCTTCGTCATCAAAGTGTGAACGTGTTCTATCAAGGTGAACACGCTGCTTTGGGTGAGTGATTGCCAGTGGGTCTGTCAGCCAGCTGACACTCACGTTGTTCAATACCGTGCAGATTTTCTCAGGGGCACAAGCCAAATATAGGAAGCACCAACACACGGCTTAGCATTCACTGAACTGAGCAGCTGGATTTTATTTTCTAAGAAATAGATGCATCTACTGCTACTACTATTATTATGAACTAACTAACTTTAACACTATATTGTCTTCAACACTACACTGTGCTTTAAATACACTCATTAGCAACCATGAAATACTGCTGGCCATTTCCATAATAGCTGATAATAACCCTGTCTGTATAACAGAGTGATGGGGGTTTTATTTTGAGAACATGAGCCCCAGCCACATTAACATCATCTATATAATGTATCAGATGTCTCCCCTGCAAAGATAGGGGCCAAAAAGATGGATTGAACTCCTGATGAGTAAAAGAGCAAATTCCCTTCAAGGCAGAAGCCGACACTGGAGAGTTTGAGGGAGGTCAGAGTGAGGAGTGAGGGGCTCAACGTGTTGGAGAAAAGTGTGAGAAGAGATACGAGACTCTACAAGGGGGTCTACAGCAAAGGGTATAAAGAGTGGGCTTGATTGATGAGTGGTGAAAAGGGGTTGGGAAGATCATTACTGCACACATTAGCACAGCCTTATAATGTAAAGCAGGTTTTCTTGGTCTCCTTAATCTTCTTCTTAGTCGTGATAAAGTTTTAGGAACCTGTATTATTTATTAAAACATGCAGAAATAATAATAATAATATATTTCATTATATCAAAATAATATATTTACATATTTTGAATCTGACTAACATAATGAAGCCTAAAAAAATAGTAATAATAATATTTTGAAAATTTGAATTTGAAAAACAGCCCTCCGCTACCAGACTGCAGAACCGGCTGTTACCCCAAAAAATGTTGGCTACAGGAAATAATAGACACAGTTAAACAGTAGGTTCAAGTTTTGCATTAAGCCTCAGAGCTCTAGTATTTTCCTTCACCTTGCCTCGTCAGTCCCACCCCATGACTGAAGGTCAGAGTTTATTGTCATGGATACACAGGTGTGTATAATTCATGCAGGAGCGCTGGTTGTGTTGATGACCAACAGCTTACGGGACACACACTGACGTGGGTCGACTCGGCTTCTTCTGGTAATTCAGTCGATCTGTGTCGGACAGTGATGCAGGCCCTGTCACAGAACAGACATCAGACATCAGCAGCAGCGCTGTTCGTCTGTGGACTGGCCAGTTTTGATTGCATTATGTATAACAAGACATCTGATAAGATCAAGATCACAGCCGCTGGAAAAGGCCTCAAATGGCACCGGACAGTCAAACAAGCCAGCTGTGATCTGATACCAGGAGATGTCTGCTGACTTATTTCAGCCTTCTCTGTTTCTGATTTAACCCTGTAAAACCATTTCTGTCATATTTGCTACACAAGATTCAGAGAGAAAAAAATTCTATCTATCTGTCTGTCTATCCTAACAGAAAAGTGTTAATCACATCAATATCTTTGTACAGTATAATTAAGATGGTCGACTTACTTGACAGTTAGATGTCCTTTGTCTATTTCCTGGACTCTTCACTTTTATTCAGGACTCGGAGGGGAAAAAAAGCACCTTAATTTGTTGCCCTTGCTGTTGAGTTCATTCAGCCGATTTCACCAGCTGCCTCTAAGTTGTTCTTTCCCTGGTCCCGTCCTTGACCTTCTATACATACATACCCCAGCTGTCAGACTGGCTGCCCCTTCAGAATCTGGCGACGTCTGACCGGCAGAAGCCTCCAGAGCTCCAGCTGCGTTCAACATTTTTATTGTCTGCTCAACACGAGTCTGCCCTCATGTTGATAAACTAATGAACCTCTGCAGCCGAGCCTACAGCGACGGTGACCTTTAACAGATTTTTCTTAGTGCAGCATTTTTGTTTTAGTGTTTAACGCCAAAGAAACACTAAGAACAAGAACGGCGACAAATGCTTTAGAATAAATGGTCTGTAGAAAACCTTTAAAATAAAAATATGTTCTCTAAAAGGACACCAGTAGGCGCTGGAGGTTCATGAACACATTTGACTTTTCTTCCTTTGCAGCGTGAAATAGATATATATATATATTATTTAAATGTTAACTCAAACCATTTATTTGAAAAAAAGGAAAGAGAGAGAGAGCAAGAGAGACAGAGACACAGAGAGAGAGAGACATATAGAGACTTCAGTTGTATTTACTGGAATAAACTTAACTCAGAAGCACCTATTGGATGTTGCCTCACACTGCCGGACTATCACTGAGGCATGAAATTGAAATGATTGATGGATACATCCTGACACCAGGAGGTCAGAGATCCACATGTAAGACAGCAGACGCTTGGGAGCTCTGTTAAATCCCTTCACCTACACCTGAGGAGTTGTTCAATTACCATCACCTTCCCTTTTTATTATATATAACAATTTAAAATTGAATAAAAGGAAGAGATGAGCTGACATCATTACAATTTTATTTCCCCTAGCAATGAACAAAAAATTGGTACTGCAATTCCATTCTTTTACTTCCCTCGGAGACAGTCTTCCATGGCTTGCAGCTCCTGTAGTTCTTGGCAGTGGGGGCCACGGTGAAGGCGAAGGAGTCTCCTGACCTTGGGGATGACAGAGAGCGCTGCTCCTCTGGCTCCCCTGGGAGACCGAGAGGAGAAAGGCACTTAAGTGTCAGTCAAAAATAATTAAATCGTGGTTGTTTTACAAATGTGAATCTGTTTGGGAATACCAACCCCGGGCCCGAAGACTGTCCGTGCTGTCTGTATAATTTACTCACCCATTAAAGTGCAGCTGAGCTAATTTGAAGAGCTGTTGACCCAGTTCAATACTGTCACCTCCGTACTGGGAGATAATCGCTGTGGCACTGCGTTCCAGATGGGCGGCAGCAGCGTTCCAGTCACCTACAAACAAAGCACTAAGAGTTGTGAAATCACAACAACACACAAATCTGCACAGAAATGACATGTGCGACGCCGCTGCATTAAACACAGCCGTAGTTGATTAAGATACTTGTAAACAATAACTTTATTTCAGACTCCTGACTTTTTCATAATTTAAAGAGGAAACTTTTTTTAATGTTTCTGTGAGAAGCTCAAAGCTAAGAATAAAAGACAGAAAACACCTGAATCACCAACAACCATCACAGGCACAAGACACATTGTTTTGCCCAAGGACACTTCAACAGTCTCCCAGTGTCCTCTGTGGCAGCTTTACAATGTGTTGGTTTGGCTTGTTCTGTTGTGTCTGAAAGGTTTTGTGTTATTTTCTGTCTGCCTTCAGGACACTTATAAATCTCTGGCTGATAAATATTTGAAGCACAGGTAAAGAGGGACCACCTGGTTAAAAAAACACTCAGTTATCATCAGGATCTACTCAGATAAGCACGTGGGTCAGTGGCTAGGTTTGTCACATGTAATTCATTATTGTATTTTTAAACTAACCAGTCAGCTGAGAGAAACAAGTCGGATTATTAGAGTGAGAAATAGTAGTGAGTAATAAAAACAAACCTCTATGCCTTTTTTAGGTTTAAGTAAAACAGGAAGTGCAACATAATCACACACTGTTGCATGAAAGTGCAAATACATGGTTTGGATTTCTTCTTACCCATTGTGGCACATGCTCTGGCCATGCAATCAGCAATTTCCCCCTGTAGAGGGTGTGTTTCTGCAAGGATTAGTCCTGCGTGACAGCGAGTTCTGTTCAACAGCTGCAGGGTCTCTTCTGAGGGAAGATAGAATGTAGGACATAAGAGACAACGACTGTCTTTGGAACAAATATAAATAACACAAAAGATTATATAATATATATAAAAAAGATATTAACAGAACAAATAGAAGTCGGTTATAAATGGGATGTTCGCTCTGATATAAAAAATGTGCGTTTTTGAGTGTTGAAGACTTTTAGACAACAACAGGTTTTAGGTACTGAAGTACTCACCTGGTCTGTCTCTCTCCATCAGGTCCACAGCCCTGTTCAGTTCATCTCTGATCTCCTGCAGCCTAATCGTCACTTCAGCTGAAGACATACGATGATTACACGACGGTTCCCCACACAGGAATCCTGTTCCTTTGTCTGCACAATTCTTAAAATATATATATAAAAAAACATCTAAGGAAAAAATACAACATTTTCCAAGTTAATAATAAAAGATTGACCATAAACACACTTTAAGAGACCCTTTGCATTTGCAGCACAGGAGTCCTGATTGGTCAGGACCATGACTGAAACCTGACTGCTGCTGTTTGCCCACTGCTGTTTCCTCCTGCGACTGAAACCTGGCTGTTTGCCCACTGCTGTTTCCTCCTGGTGAAGTGTGCAGGCCTCACACTGGCACAGGAAGTAATACTGTTCCTGCAGGAGTCTCTGGCGTTTCTTAGTTATCATCCTTCTGCTGTGAGGACCTGAAGAAACAGGGAAATGAGGTGAATGCAGTATTTATAAGGTACACTTCAATACCAGAATAAAAATGGTTAATAAATTACATAAAATACTGAATATTTGGGACATATCTGTGGTTCTGTAGAACCTCAAGTTATCATAGAAGTACAGAAATGAAATGTTCTTTTACTTTGAGGTGATTATGATTAAATGAAAATGTTCATAATCCTTTTACTACCATAACAGTGCAGAATCTCTTGTCCCGCAGTGATGTCTTTGGCAGCTCTGACAGTTACAGCGACTCCACAGCCAGTGTTTCTGTGCCAAGATGCAGCCTCACTGAGATGTGGAGACAGATCTGGTGGAAATGGATCAACAGCTGTTCCAGTGCTGAACACCAGGCTGGTGTTGGGACAGCAGGAGTGATTTAAAAGGCTAAGGGTTGGAAATACTGCTGAAGCAATGCGGACTTCTCTGGTGGACTGGACTGGAGATTTTCCTGATACTGGAGAGTGGAAAGAAGGTAAAAAATACTGACATATTTACTCATTCTGTAGAGAAGAAAGCCAAGGTTTACTGGTTTTAGTATTCTTTTCCACAATAGACTAAAAACAGACCTAAAAACAATAGAGTCTAAATAAAATTAGTTTAATTAGTTAAGGAAATGAATTGGATTTTTTTTCCTAATTACATTTTTGTAAAAAAAAAAGAAGTGAAATCGCAATGTTGTACAACTATGATTACAGAAAGAAAATATGTATTATGTCATATGTGGACAGAGTTAATACCATGTCTCCAACTTTTGCTGACTGACAAGACAGACTGCTTAATGATGAGTGTCACATTCAGGCTGTTTCTGTTTTTTGGACTGAGACAAGTGAGAATTTGAGGAAAGGTCAGTTACCCTGTATGAAATCTTTATGAGTTACCTGTATCCTTCAGGATGACAATCGCCTGAGTGTTGCACCGCAGTTGCAGCATGTGTCTCAGAATTGCACTTCCCATCAGCCACAGCTCGGTGCTCTGATGTGCATGACCTTCAGTTGCATCTGTTGATTGGCTGTTGGCTGTCAAGGGCTCACTGAGATCCCAGGACGCAGGTAGAGTCCCATCCTTGCTCAGTTTCAGGTAGAGTGTTGCTGTAGTAACAGCACTCAGGAAACGGACGGCGGGGCTGTGGCGATTCAAGTGATGAAGTAAATGAAACACCCTCAGGTAAGGGTCACTGCAGTGGGAAGCTAGAGCGTCAGGTTGATGTGTATGGCATGAACTGGACATGGTAGATTCATGGTTTGGCTCAGACTCTGTGTAAATAATTCTATTTAGTTCTTTGGCCTTTAGGGTCGTTTTTAACCCCGCCTTTAGCACTACCCTCAGGGCCAGTTGTGAAATCACACCCATCGCCATCAATTCTGCTCCCAGTGGACACTCCCAGCGGTGATGTTCATCCCACGCATCCTGCTGACAGTCAGCTGAACAGTACCGGCTGTAACCGCATCCGCCACATGGCACAGGATGCAGTGTCTCAGTCAAACATCTGTGACAGCACCTGTGCTCTGTTCCAAACACTCCTGTGCTGAGACCTCCTCTCTCCCCTCCCACACCCTCCACCCCTGGTATAAGGACACAGCTGTACGGTCTGTCATTGAAGATCACTTCTCCTGCTGCAATTCCATTTGTAGCCACTAGATGTCGACCCTTCTCATGGCTAAAGCCAACGACAGCTTGAGGACAAATCCAACTCAAATAATCTCCACCAGATGGTGCTTTGACTCTGCCTGGATCTTTATTATAATTTGGAGTAATACTATCATCGCCCTCTTTTCCCTTTTCGCCTAATGTGATGTGTTTCATACACTGTGTCTGACGGTCTTTGAGTTTATGTACAAGGTGAGAGGGGTAATTATTCTTCAGGGCCTTGTCGATGTCCTCTACACATTTCTAAAGGAGAGAATAACCAGAAGACAGGAGACAAAAAATAAGCTAGTAAAACCAACAACAAGAGGAAACGGTTAAAAATTGTCAAAATTTCACCTGGTAGTGGTGCAGATGGTAGAGGGCAGCAGAGCGGTTGGCATAACACAGTGACAGCTGCTCAGAATTTTGTGGGGAAAAACATATGCCCTGTCATGAGAGGAGACAGAGAAGAGGAGAAGGTGTCATGTTTTAGAAGAACTACATTCTGACCTTGAATGCACTCAAGCAGCACTGAAATCAAACAGTTTTTACAGGTTTGAGGTAAAACACACAGAAACACAAACAAACATATATACACACACGTGGGGTATTTTATGTACTGGGGTCGTGTGTACCTGTGAATAGTGCAGAGCTGCAGCAGTGTAGTCTCTGCTCTTGAAGCTACAGTTTCCTCTTTCTCTGCATTTGGCTGCCTGTTCTGTGTCTTTCTGCACAGGGTAACTTGGGGAGATGGAATGTAAATAATCCACATCATCTTGTCTGCAACATAAAAAGACAAAGTTATTTTGAGGGATAAGAGAAAGGTGTGACAGATAGCTGGACTTGTCCCTTCATTCTCATTGTATAAATGAATTAACAGGCGATTAACGAGTTTACGTTTTTCACAATTGTTTGCAATTACTTTATATTAGTATTATTGTGCAATGCAATATATAGTTTAGTTTAAAGCCCAGATATCTTCAGCAAAACAAAGAACCAGGTGTACTGGTCAGTTTTTTTAGCTATAGATACTCACGTTGTCAGAGTTAGGGCGAACTTAAACACATCATCAATTTCAGTAAGAGATGTGAAATGCTCCTTTAAAGCGGCGTCAAGTCCTGCCCACTTCTGAGAAATATGTTCCTGCCACTGGACACACGGTAGATCCATCACTCCAGCGCAGAGAAAGTCGTGTTGCTCTTAGCAATTGTCTAATAACTTTCATTTGTTTTCATTCCGCATCACGTTGCTTCGAATTGCAGACGTCACCAATGACGAGTGGTTCTTCGGATATTACCTTTCAAAATAAAAATTTGACCAAGCGAGAATTACGACAGCGAGAATTAAATGAACTACATTGTGATATTTGCTGTTTTTCAATTTAAATAATTGTGATGTAATACAATTTACAAGATGGTGTATTCGTATTTGATTGTTTAGCATGAATAGAATATTTACATAATTTAATTATCAACACACTGTGTGTTATTTTTCAAAATCGAAAAAAAGATTTAGCTTAAAACGTCTCAATTTAAAAGAAGAGAAAACAAAAGACATTGTATTGCCAATGCACATATAGCTACATGCAACAAACTTGTTCATTTTTTTACCTTTAAGCTATGTGTGAAACAAGAGCAGTAGTTTCGGTGCATGGTATGTCCCAACTATCAAGACAGATGTAATTGCCCTACTTGCCAAATTACATTTAAAGTGTACATGATAAGTAAATAAGTAGTTTAAGGTCCAGTAAAGTCTCATGGTCTTCCTGCATGAACCACACGACTACTTGATGACTGCTGGGAATTTAATTCCTGTTGCGACCATGAACATGATTAACAGCTTATTATTTCAATGTTTTAACTTGTGCTGTACATGGTTGTTTACAAATATAGGTTTTATAAGCTTTTAATTTGAAAACCTAAATACCTTTATCCGGAAATAGTTTGTAGTCTCGAGCATGTCAATTCCCTCGCGATACTTCCACTTTCCGTGCCACTGTTTGGTCAACAGCTATTAAAAGCTGCTTTTTTGACAGCTGAGTTGGACTTCAGACATGAGTGTAACGCTGACAGACGGGGCAATTCAAGTACGTACAGATATTTTTGTGTTCTATAATACTTTTATTTGTCACCACGCTTATATTGAGTATTTCAGCGTTGTTTGACTAACTGCAACTTGCTAGCAATGTTTCAACTCATAAGCCTTAACTTAACTTATTAAGTTGAGCCTAACTTAAATTTAACAATCAAAATTTTTTGGTTAACAAATATCAAAGATTAAACAAATACCACATCACGCCCTTTTATGACGTATAACGTTATAAGTCAACTAAACAACACCACGATAAAACAGGTCATCAGGGAAGACTAACAACTAATTACAGTTATTATGTTCTTTTAGGCCCTCTTCAGAGGCTCACAGGTGAAAGATCCGGTTCTCCAGCTACTGGTGAGTAAATCCAAGAATCATCAGTTCATATTCATACATTTAAATATTTTTTGATCGTCCTATTATGAGGCACTGTTTTTGGAGTCGTATATTGTGCAGTTCTTATTTGCAAACATGCTGATGGGGATGATGAGGATTGCTTAATATTTGCTATTCTTCATTAATTTCAGAAAATGACCCACAAATAAAATAATTGTTATCATTTGCTATATTATAATAATAATAATAATAAGACATTTATAAAAACGTTAATTTAAAAGATCCTTAAAAGGTAAATGAATATGCCAGTTTCTGATGCTGATGATCAGGTCATAAAATGGTTTGTCTCCTGTGTGTTTGGTAGAACAAGCGTCAAGTCTGTAATAAAGGCTCAACCAGGGTTAATCTCCGAATGAGCGATGGTCAACACTATTCAAATTGTAAGTAACTTGAACCATTGCTACATAGTGTATTTGTAGCAGACTGAAAATACAACTATGATTATCACATGAGTGCTTACACTTAAATTTAATCTAAATGTTCTTGTTGCTGGGTTTCTTTCCTATAGGCTTTTTGCTGAACACCTCGTTAAACTATCTGGCAGACACTGACCTACTATCACCTAAATGTGTCTGTAAACTTACAAAAACCACAGTCCAGGCTTTTGAGGATGGCAGGTTGGTGATTTCTTTTTTGCTCCACTACTGTCTCCTTTATGGCTTTATGGGTTTATTTTATTTTATATATTTTTTAGACTTGTGGTGGTTGTGTTGGAATTGGAGATACTGCAGTCGGCCGAGGAAACCAATGAGGTTATTGGGAATCCCACTCCCCATAATCCACAAGGTATGGTTTATTTTCGCAGTTTACATCCATTAGTTCATTTATCTGTCAGGTTCCTGAAGCTCCGTATGTAAACTTTCAGGTCAGAGTTCAGTTTCGGAAGCATCTGTTACAGACGAAGAACCAGGGCCGTCACATGGACACAGCAGCGGTGAGTGTGTCCTACATATATTTTCACCGTTGCTTTTACTTTAAATCCAACTCTAAGTCAAGAGAGTCATGCAGCGTTTTAGTAGATGCCACGGCAAAAATAACTTTTTAAGCTGCAGACTCTAACTGACTCTGGCAGTTCTCACAGTGAAATTTGATCATTCAGCAATATCACATTTTTATTGAGCAAGACTTGTTTTGTGGAATTTTTCTATAGGCAGCAAATTGGAGGAATTTCACTCCTTCTTTCCAAGCACATGTTTATTGATTACGATATGGGCCTTCTAAATATAGCAAGAATATGGATCAATAAAAAGCTCTGCTGTCAGCAAAAAGTGGCCCAGCATTTTCTTTTCCCCAAGACTTGTTTAGTTTTGTGGAAAGTGCAAAAAATAACATTTTGACTAGAGATGTTCACACACTGTCGTTGGCTATAACAGTTTACAGTTTATGCCTATTGGCTGTTTTGTTTTCCATTGCTCACTAATGTAGCTACATCCTCATGTTAATATTTAAGACTTATATTTTATGATATTTTAATGTCTGAACAGAGATGAGTAGGATCTGTATCCTCTGTTGTGTTGTGAGAGCTCAGTCACTGTTATTGCATTTGGGTTGAAAAGAGAAATCATTACACCAGGAACATAAAACCTTGTTATTATTAAGGTGAAAAAAAAAGTAATGTTACCAACAGAGGGAGCCATGGACCATTTGAAGTGCGGTAGCTGATGAATCATTTCTGTCTCCTCAGTGTTTTCCCCCCAGTATGGCCGTTCTGCTATAATCCCAGTAGACCTACATATTCCCTGTTGTAGTCTCCTTTAATCTCATTCACTATACTACACTTAAGCCTCTCACCAAAAGAAAAAATAAGGGAGATGTTATAGGCGTTGGGGTCAAAACCACCAATCAGTATGTCTAATGTCCCATTTTTAACAGGTTGAATTCAGTTGATTGTATTAAATGTTAGATGAGTGTAGTGGGAGTGTACAGGAGTGAGTGTACAGCTCTAGTTTCCTCAGTTCCAGTCCTTTTTTTTCACATCACACTGCACAATTTTATCATATTTACAGCTCAGCCATCAGAGCAAGAAACTATCTTGTTGCCCAGTGGCCATCAGGACCTGCAGAGATCATAACTCACACTTACACTCTCGTACCACCAACTGGATTTCTATAACGAAATACGAACCTTGAATAATGGCCGGAGTTTTTTTTTTTTCTTTTTTCTGAACCTGACTGGTGTCATGAATCACGCCTAAAGTATCTTGTGTTTTATCGCAGCTTTGTGTATTAGCTCAGCCTTTGTTTCACTCTGTTGTTTTATTCCTGCAACTGCTCATAGCATTGACATTGATTTTTGTTATGTGGCAGAAACAAACCCAGTGGTCCTCCTCAGTGGAAGATGTACTCATGTGGGTGGATAATGAGCGCTCGCTATACTGTATAGTGTGAGTTTGTGCATGCGTAGGTCTGTGTCCGTATGTGTGTTGTGACTGGGGGAGAGTGTGTGTGGGCAGCCGGCTCCTTCACTTCATGTTTTCACCAATATTATGCTGTGGACTGAATCCCTGTGTACTGACGAGCTAAGAGGAGATAATAGTCAACACTTTGCAAAGATGAGTCTCTGCAAGTTAAGTACTTCATCACACTCCATCCTCAACCTGTGATACATGTTGCCTCAGAGATCCCACCAGATACTGGAAAGCGACTGCTGTGTTTAATTGTTCTGTTGCAGAAATGGCCTTGCCTTTTTTTCTTTTCCTCAGCAGTTCCACAAACACCTCCTGTGCATAAATCCTGCGGCTCTGCATTTAATTATTTTCCAATAGTTCTGTAAATTGTATTTTCAGGACGCAGATACATTTATTTGCACTCCCAAAATTGCTAAATGTTGCAGATTATGTGTATTCGATGAGCTGTGGATGACGCAGTGACTGGGGACACTGAGTTTCCCAGAGAGACGTGAGTTTATAAGAAACACACATATCTCCAGGCCTTTTCATTTGGCTTAAGTGTTTCCTTGCCTTTTACACTCATGTCTTCTCAACACGTTTTCTTTCTTCTTTCTTCTTACTTTTTTTTTATGGCAGTTGGCAACTGTTCATGCACAACTGCCCCCGGCACTTACCAGTAGGTTTGCCAGGGAATAGGAGGAAGATGAAAGAAGGATGGAGAAAGGCAGGTGCAGTATGGCCTACTGTTCAGGCTCAGGACGGATTTTACAAGATAAATAATAGCTGCCTGATCAGCTGGACAAACATTTTCTACATAAGCCAAGGTACACTTGGAGCAAAAACAAAGACAATTAGCAGCAGGGAAGGCTGAATGCTATCAAGGCTCATGATTTAGATTTAATTTAATGATTTTTATTCCCTGGAACTACATAAACTTGCTCTTTTATGGGTTTCCACAAATATGCAAGCCTTTCCATCTGCAAAAGTGCACTGAAACAATACGAATATATTGTAATTAATTTTTTATTTTCAAACTTTATATTAAGTTGCTTCTTGGCCACCTGTCTAATCTTTCTTTTTCCCCGATGCTTTTGTAATTAGAGAGCTGGTAAATCAACACAGGAGACTGGAATTGCTGTTTTATAATCAACTGAATGGAAATAATTCCTGAGATTAACGAATATTTGAAGTGGAAACAGCGTTTTTTTTATATGCTAATTCACAGATACACAGTACAAATACTGGTACTAGCCTCGGTTCGGTCTCAAAAATATGAAATTAACTGGAAGCGAGTGTTAAAATGTGGAACAGCTCTATGTTCAGTGTTCAGTGAGAATACCAAACACGGCATGTGCTGTGGAGGATAAGTATTTGGATGAAATCAATACCAGTATCAAAATACATACTGGTATTGGTGCATCCCTAATTAATGCCATTTTTAAAAAAGATATTTTTTTCTAAGCTCACTCTGCACATACCAGACCAAATATCAATCAATGATTGTATTTTGAAACAGTGGAGAGTGGTTTCAAAGCAGTCTGTGTAAAGTCAAGAATCCAGACACGGTTCCCAGACATTTCTGTTGTTTGCAGACGATGTTCAAATTCCACCGGGGTCGGCCCTAACTGAAGTGCAGTTAAAACATCATTTTTCATCAGCAACCTGTTCTCTGATGTTTACCTTTTACTTGCAACGCTCACTTCTGTCTTTCATGAACGCACAAAAGCGTGTGTGGTGTCTTTTTTTTTTATTATCTCCCAAGTGTTGAATGATTTATTTTATTTCATATATTTCAATTTCCTCATGGCTAACAAGCCTGACAAACAGGGAGTGTTTAAAGTCTGCTGCTCTTTTCTCATCAGCAGCTTGAACTGATCCTGATCACAAAATTAAAAAGCCTTGATACAGCTCTTTGCCCTCCACTTTGTTCTCTTCCATAAACCCCTTTAACTCTCCCTTTTCTTCTCCCTTCTTCCTTTACACCATGCTTCTTCCTGCTAAAGCTGCACGCAGATATTGTTTCTTTTCATTTTTAACTTTTTGCTGCTTTACCTTTTAGTTGGCATTAAGTGCATTTCAAGAAACAATCGTGCGTTGTTACATTATTTCTGCCGTGTGGTGGTTGGTATCAAGGAAGATGTATTTTTTTCTCTCCTTTCTTTACCTAAATGCTATTTCTCAGTGGTGCAGGCCATTCTTTCCAAAATAAGTCTTTGCGTAAAATATATTATGACAACATCCAGCTGTCTCTCCTGACTCATGCTGATGAGGATAAGTGCTAGTTTACTGAGAGGAGAGTTAAAAGCATATGAATTCCTAAGCCATTCACGTCTTTAAAGCTTTCTAATGCTGTTGTAAAGGGTCGAAGAGAACTCTCATTGTTTCACATTAAAATGGTTGTTTTTAGGTATACATATACACCTACAGAAAATACAAATTGTCCTCTGCATTAATGCCATCTGTGACACAGGAGCACATAGTAAAGAATGTTAATTGATTTCTCTATGTCAAGTAAAGGTTATGTTAAGAAGCCTCAGCTCATGTGACCTTAATGATAACTCTCTTCTATTAGGATTTATGGTTTTATGGTGGAGAAAAGAAATGCCAAAATGTGTTACTAGAACTCAAGGGCTCAGTGTTGCAATTCTGAAATTAGTAACTACTGTCCTGCTTATAAAAATATCAACAAAAAAACTCTCTCTGGAACAGAGAGTTTGACTACAGTACATGATATCTGGTTTGAAAGTAACTCTAGAGAAACCTGCACTATGAAATTTAACGTGTGACCAAATGTGTTTGAGCTTGTGCTGCTCATAGTTCAGTATGTTTGTATATTCAGTACTGAGTTACTTCAAGTGAACTTGTATTTGTATTTACAACTTTCTAGCAAGTCATGAACATATGTCCAACTTTATGGTTGTTGTTCTGAGCATTCAACTGTGAACAGTAGTGGTGTAAATGTGGGATTGGTTTATTTTCTCTCAGAGACCACTGTGGTTTAGTATCTCTATAAATTGACTCTCTTTTCAACTTTTTTTTCCTCAGTAGCTTCTCCAATGAAGTCTTCACCCATGAAGTCTTCACCCATGAAGTTCTCATCCGCAGTCAGTTCACCCATGAAAAGTTCACCTATGAAGATGTCACCTATGAAAATTTCCCCAATGAAATTTTCACCTTCAAAATCCCGTGATGCTTCTCCAAGTCCACTGATCCCTATCTCCAAGCTCAATCCTTACCAAAACAAGTAGGTTCAGTTTTACACTGTCTTTGTGTCTGCGTCTGACATCTAAAACTGAAAGATATTTTTAAAAAATGTATTTAGGGCACAAACATGCAAAACATTTTTTTTTGTTTATCTTCCTTCGTTTCCCTGTTCATCACCTTTACTGTCGCCGTCTTATATTTCTGTTTGCCTCGACTTGAAATCATTTCAGTACTTTAGGCATTTTGAAAATGTGTACATGGGTTTGTGCTGGGACGTGCTGGGGGACACTTTTTCTCTGATTGTTATTGTGAATGGCTCTCTCAGTGAGCGTGTGCGCGTGTGTCGGTGTGTGCGTGCGGGTGGATGAGTCACCCCATTTGCATGGAAATGAAATGACCGATCTTGCCTCAGAAGTGGACACTTAAATGGCAGGTACTGCTGGGTCCAGATGATTGCTGCTGAGGTTTTGATTCTGTTATTTGGCCCATTGGGGATTTGACCGAGCCGTAGTTTTAACCCCCTTCCTTTCCTTTTTACAGTTTTCCAAGTCCTTCGGGGTTCCACTTCACTACATATTTTCCCTTTTGCATCTTGTGCTTCCATTAGGCTTAAGTCTGTGTCCCTGACCTTTACGTTGGCTGTAAAGACAGGAGCACGGCACAGTGAGATGTGGTTGTTCAGATTGGAATAATTCCCTGTCAACAAACTCCTTTTTTTGGGGTGGGGGGGCTGAGCAAATATGGCCTGTTTAAAATTGCAAGTTGTAAAAATAACTGTGCCTGTAGGTGCTGTAATAAAGTGATGACTGTTCCATCTTTGATGTTGGGGACTACCTGCAGTGAATAAAACAGATGACTCCAGCAGCCGCGCTTTTACCACGCATGTTAGTGTCAACACTTTAACACTGTGATACATATGGTGGATTATGTATAGATGCAGTGAATGTATGCATGGCTTTTTATGGCAGTTTACATGGCTTTCTCATCCCATTTCGCCGGTGTTAAGTAATAGAATCTCCAACAGACTATAATTGGCTTTCGGCTGCCATAAACCTCAGTGTAACAGTCTTATCCGTACTGAGCAGGGAATGAGGTTCACTCTGGGCCAGCAGCTGCTCTCATGATAGTGGATTTAATTGCAGGCAAAGTTATGGTATGAATATCCTCCACTGCACAATTATCAATGCAGTCTAAAAGCTTACTGCTGCATAAACTGCAGAGCTCGACTGGTTGTTGTTAAAAACAAAATGAGAAGCACATTTTTAATGTGTCCAATCACTGGAAGATGAACAACACCTACCAGGTAAATATTTTGAAATTGTTGTATTGTTGTATTGAGTTGTTGAAGTCTTTTTATGAAAGTTTAAGACTCTTGTTTTATTTTCCATGGGGATTGTTGTTTAACAGTCATGAGCAGAGAAGGTGACATTCATGAGACAAAGGCTTTTTAAAGTGGCTCACCAGTTGGTGCCACCCTTTAGACTTGATTCTGTTTGAGTTTCGGTGTTTGAAAAGTGAAACTTTTTGTTTATTACATTTGGTTATTTGTTGTCTTATAATTCACGGGACTTAAATTTTGTTGTTGCTGTTAGCTAAACTGCGGATGTTTTTTTTAAACAGATGAGTTCAATTCCAGGTTACAGTGCTTTAGAAGTGGAGGAATGTGTTCAGCTTTTTTCCCTTGGCATCTACTCACCTGTCGATCCTGATTCAGTATCGAACATTGTCTTCGCATGTCCTTGTAGATGGACCATTAAAGCCCGAGTTACCAACAAGTCCAATATCCGCACCTGGAGCAACTCTAAAGGAGAAGGAAAGCTCTTCTCCTTTGAGATAGTGGATGAGAGTGTGAGTAAAACTGTGTTGCTAACCAACTTGTCACAAGCTTCTTTTTTTTCTTCATTCAATAAAATATTGATTTGTTGGAATGTGTTTCCTTTAACAGGGAGAAATTAGGATCACAGCCTTCAACAAGGAAGTTGACAAGTTTTTCTCCCTAGTGGAACCAGGAAAGGTGAGAAAGTTACAAATTCCTCAAGATTCTCAGACACATGTCTGATATGATGGAGAATACAATGGGGGGTAAACGTATTTTTCTTGATAACTAAAAGGATGTTGGGTGCATAAAATCCTATTTTTTTGTTATTGACTTCATGTTTTACATCTGTGCATAACTACATGTTTTGACACCGATGTTTCTTCTATGAGCACACCATGGAACCACCGTTGTCGTAACATACCAGAGAAGATTTACATAGTTCCAATTGCAATTTGTAATTTGTTTAAAAAATTACACGGCACTTTCATTTTTCTGGTCTCTATACTGGCCATCAGGAAACTCATTACAGACATTCGGTGCTGAGCACGTGCTGGCGTACCCCAGGAGAAATACAAAGACTCTCATTGTGTCTTAAGACATTAGAGTATTGCTTTCAAATATACATTTCTAATATGATCATTTCAAATAAACCCCCTGGTGTAAAAGTCTTAAATGTATGAAAGGGTCTCTTAATAGAATTATCTCACAATAAAAGAGTGCCAATTGAAGAGCTCTATTCCAGTGTCTCCATTGGCATCTCTGATAATAAGAAATTAAGTTTCCACCAGCTGAAGCTTGTGAGTCCATGACACACACACCTATAACCTTATCCCATCTGCAACCCAGACAGCCTTGATTCACTGAAATCCAATTAATAAGTATGGCATTTCATGTCATCTTTCAAGAATAAATTATTACTGAAAGAAATAAAAATACCTTTTCTACTCGATGCTGTATATTTTACTAAAGACGTTTTCTGTCAAATGGCTGGAAGTTTTAATGTGATTTAACACAGTTAGAAAATTGATTAATTACAATTTATAATGATTAATCATGATCATAATTAATAATTATTAATCAATGTACATCAACATCATATGTTTCTATAGAGCTGAACCCTCCATGATCAACTACCTGCAGTTGAGATGGCATTTTAATCTTGAGATGCTTTGTGAAAAGAAAACATTTGCGCAGAATATATGTATATAACAACATATTCACCAACTGTGTATTTCACCAACAGTAAGTACACAGACTGTGTAATTACTGGATGTACAGTGCGACTTATTCTGTCCATGCATTCAAATATTAATCATATTAATTCTACAAATTAACACACATTTTTGGCAGCCCTAATTGAAAAGAAGTACAGAAAAAGAAAAGAACTTATCTGTTGGGTGCTTTCTGTGAGAAATTCAACATCCTTGTGCCTAAGTGGAGAATCCCAACACTTGACACCAGTCACAGCACCAAGACCTCAGAGCGCGTCTTCCGCATGCTTTCCCATGTCTATGCAATTTATCCAGGTAGAACACATACCTAAGCTTTTGCTCAACTCAACCCTGTGGTCCATAGAGCTTAATAACTCAATTAACCCTGGCTGTCGTTTCACTGGTCCCACTGACTGGAGCATCAGCCACTGGCAGTGATTCCCAACTCAACCCTGGATCCAATTTGTGCCCTGTGCTCTCCAAAGATAAATAAAAAGAACCGTTTTTCCTTCCCTCCTGTTTCAAACATTGACAGAAATTGAGTGGGTGTTACAGGCTCCGAGTGACCAGAATGTTTATCAAATTAGTTTCATGCTGCTGTCTTCTTGTGAATCACAGAGACATGTTAGCAGGAAGAATGAAAAATGGACAGATAATGGATCGGACTGTAATAAGAGTTTTTTTTTGGTCTAATAAACCATTATTGTAGGGATGATTTTCTTGTCGGCATCAGTAAAGTATTCACCCTTTGATTCAATTTCCAGTGCACAGAGAACAGCCAGTATAAATGAGGATGTTTCACTTTGTTTCCTGTAGGTGTACAAAATCTCCAATGCTACACTGAAGCTCGCCAACAAACAGTACAACAAACTGAGGAACGACTATGAGGTGACCCTTCACGGCCACTCCCTCATTGTGTTGTGTGACGACGGCCAGGGAGTTCCCACAGTGCACTGTGACTTTGTGTCCATAGCGGAGCTGGAGAACCGAGAAAAAGACACCGTCATTGGTAAGAGATTTGAGATCGGACTGATTTATAGGTTTTATATTTGGTGACAAAGAGTGAAAGTGATCGAGTGACTCGCAACCGTGGCCCCAAGGACAGTGGGGGTGAAAGCAGCAAGGCCTGGACTGCTACAGTTTTTTAAAGCTCCGTCTCCCAGGAGCTGTATTTTTTCACTCAAGTGTTTGGATTATTCCTACAATGTCTCCAAAGTCTTGGAAAGTTTTCACAGTGTTAATGGAACATTTAGTGTGAAGTTAATTTAAAAAAAGGATGTGTGTATAATTAGTGTGAAACTTCCATGTGTTCTCCTGTGGCTGTTGGGTGAGCGTTCCTTTCACGGCATGGTAGGTGAAACAATAGTGTTAAATAGACAGTCACTGTTGTTGATAATCTGACCTGAACACCGCTGGACCTTGACTTCATTATAAACATACAGCCTTTGCTGCAACTGTTAGTTGGCGCTAAGTGGCATGAAGCTTTTTTTGGTTGTGTGTTTTGAAATTCATTTTTCGATGACAACTACCTTTATCTACTTGCCAAAGAACCCTGCTTCATAGCCCATTTTTGAGCTAAGAATTGTTCCTAAACATTATGTTTTTAGTATCAAAGCTGCTACAGTAAAGAAGGTCAGCATGCTAACCTTACAACGACAACATCAGCGTATGCTAAACTAGTTTGTTGGTTCAATCCTCAGTTTTTCCATATTGGGTTTGCATGATCTTTCTGTATGTTTAAGGGTTATACCAGGGGAGGGTCAAAATGGTTGTAATGACAGTGGTAAAAAGAATATCTGATATTGTATGTCCCTGAACTTGATTTAGCACCTTAGTTTTCTTTTTCATTTGTATCACATTGTTTGTGAAGTCTGTATCAAACAAGTAGCTCTGCCCTAGAAGTATTTTGTTTCAAAAAGGTTGTGACCCCTGCTCTAGACCAAATGTCAATAGATAATATAATTCACATGGTATTGAGGCAAGTGTTCATTTTAACACAGCTCTGTCAATACAATTACACAAGCTATTTATTTCAATAACAGTGCTTTAACATTTCAGACAGTTTATCTGAGTATAAATACAGCGTCGTCTGATTATAAATACAGTGCCGGCTGCTGGTCACATGATGGCAGAGCACAACACTTTTATAGCCTGTGCTCAGCGGAGTGTATTTTAGTCATAACGAGGTTTTACAGATCATATCAGACTTCGTCTTTTTGTGTCTTATCAGTGTCACAGAGTTCGACTAGTACCAGTTTGGTCTGTAATACTGGCTGGACTCCACGTGCCCTGAGGGGCTGGTGTTATGGATGCTAGGACGGAGTTGTTTGGGTTTAATCTGGTGAATAATCAGCAGGACCATCCGTGAGTCAAGTCACCCTGAGCAATTAAAAACCATTGATATAAATGTTTGTAAAAACGAGTGCATAGTTCCTCACGGTCCCTTATCACTCATCTAAATGTGGTTTTTTCAACTGCATCATATTTAAGTCTACTGCTGCATAGGGTCAGCAAAACACAACAGCAACTCCTGGAAGGCAAACAGAGTTATTGATTCTTTAAAGTGTTTGACAAGAACTTAATGGCCGTAAAGAAAACAGCCGAGCCCAATCTTCCGAGAGTGTTGTATGAGTATTATGGGTTGCATTTGATCAGTAATATTGCATGATTAAATTAGTCTAAGTGTTGAGCAGCACAAGCCAACACGCTGGCAGACAACACAGTCAGCAATGCTCTCTGCAGTTTACCTGCAGAAGTGTGTTAACGTCGGCCTCAGAGGGGCAGCGTTACATGTTCTGTGCATCATCCGTTGTCTCACCCTCTCTTCACTCCCTTCCTCTCTCTGCGCTTTTGTTAAATAGGGGATTATAACATGGTAATGAGAACTGTCAGCCTGTTCCTGTGGTGATAATGGAGTTCAGAGGTGGGTGACATCGTTTCAATCATAATGGAATTAAGGAGCGCTGAGAGAGTGCAGACCGAGAGCAAGGGAACAACAGGAGGGAGGGGGTTTAGAAAAAGGTTAGTTGATTGAACAGACAGGAGTAGGAAGTTGAAAGAATCACTTGTTTGAATTATAAAACTGCCGGTCATATTTAATGTGTGGGCAGCAGCCGGAGATGATCGACAGGAAATTACCACCGCGACTGTGGCCATTGTTGAGCCACATAAAGTTGACCTGTGGAGGTTCTCAAGTCAGGAAAAAATACTTTCACATCATCGCAATTCTGAAAAGCTACAGCACATGGTGTGAAATGTCAACAAAATACAAAATAACCAAGGTTAGAAATGTGTGTTTTTACACCAGTCATTTGAAATAATTTACAGTCAGAAACTTTCACTGAACAGTCAGTCACACATTAGGTCTATTCTATTCTATAGACTAGTCTATAGTCTATTCAAATACCTCGATCTCACAGGGACCCGATGCAATAAGGCTGAGGAGCCAAATGTGGCTCAAGGGCCACAGGTTGGAGCCCCCTTCACTAGTTCTACCACTGATTTAAATGTCTAGGTTTGCAGTATTTTCTGGTTTTAGCAGTGTTAAATTCATCTTTGTTGTACATAGACTTTTGCAGATGGGTTATACAGTATATGTTTTGTAATGTCAGAATAAAAGGCCACATCAGCAGTGCTGAACTGCTCATTAGTGAAGTACATAATGTGTTTAGGCCCAAAAGGAAGACATGAATGCAGAATAAGTTGGTCCTCTGTTTTAATTTCAGCACGTCTCTGTGCCAGTCAGCCTGATAGGACACTCGTGTCTGTGTATTGTCCTTTAGCGATATCAGAGGGCTGTGAGCCTGGGCCGGATCGAGTCTTTACTGCTTATGGTGCAATAATTTTTTTTTTTTACATAATGTAGAGATTATCCAGGGGGCATTTTCTCATTTTATATCAAGAGTCTATTTACATAATGTGCTATTGCTTTCTTTTCCTTATGGCTCCAAGCACATTTGTGTGTGTATATTCATGACCTATCTATGGATGGAGGGCACAGATTTAATGGTCCTCTCTGTCTACAGATGTTATTGGTGTGTGCAAGAGCGCGGAGGATGTATCCCGAATCACCACTAAGGCCGGAAGAGAAGTCTCCAAGAGGGCCCTCGTCCTCATAGACACGAGTGAAAAAGTGGTGACAGTCACACTGTGGGGAAAGGAGGTAATGATTTCAGTCCCTTCTCTCTGTACATTGACCGTCCTTTATATTCAACCCACCTATCTGTTAATGAATATAAACGTGAATGTGTGCATGTGTGTGTATCCTCGTCAGTGCTCTTGGCACACTTTAGTGCACTTGAGCATGCAGACCATTTTGATGGAGTTTCCTGAAGTGTAAAATGTGGATCAGTCAATAGTCAGTATTTGGAAATTTGGGGTAAAAGTAGCTCTTTGATTCAGAGGAGTTGGCACTGTTGTTCTCCAGAACTATTTCTTCTGTATTATTAGAATGGCTAATTCATTAATTTGCATGTTGTGAAATTATTACACAAACTTAAATATTGGTCAGTCATTTCCATGCTGCTGATCCGGCCTTTTTCATCTAAAATATAAAAATACTGCAAGTTACATTTCGTCATTGGGGAAAAGTTTTGGCCAGAGTCACTACAGTCACTAAATATCCTATTTTCTGGAAATAGAGTTGCAGCTTATTTTTCTATTTGCAAACTGTGATTGTGAAAATAGCCAAATGCGGTCTGTACTGTACTGTTGTGGAGCTTATACTCACAGTATAAATCTGCTTGTTGTTGAATGGAAAGTCGAGCCATATATTTCCTAAGAAAGGAGCATTTGCTTTTTGAAAGTGAGGTCCTCGGTTTATTACTTTCCACCGCTCTGGTTGTCACCCCAACATTTATATGAATACATACAGTAATATAAAAAAAAACAACACCCCAGGGTGTGGGTAAAATTAATTGTTCGTATGATTAATTTATAAAACTTGATTTAACTAAACGATGGGGTCCATCCTAGATGAGGTGTGGTTTTATTTCCTTGTATTGCTGTCGTTGGGAGGGGCCTGTATCTGATTGCCTTTCTGCCGTGCCTCTGAGTACAAATTATCAACATTCTTTTATAAAACTTTATTGGCGTTCCTGAATACATTTTCACATGCAGTAAAAACCCTATCATATAATATTTAGTCTCTGTTTTTTCAGACAACCCTAACGTTTTAACACTGGAGCCACGGGAGACTAATTCAACTGTTGTCCCTTGTTATTCTGTCCTAATGTGTGGTCCTTGACTCGTTTTTCTTCAGGCAGAAAAGTTCGATGGCAGCAGAGAGCCCGTGGTTGCCATCAAAGGAGCTCGTTTGTCAGATTTCGGAGGCAGATCTCTCTCAACTGTGTTCAGCTCCAAGTTAATGGTCAACCCAGACATACCTGAGGCTTTCAAACTGAGGGCATGGTGAGTCATTCCTCACAAACAAAACGAACGTTTAAAAGAAACACACAACCAAGACCGACACTTACCTACAGATGTAGGGATTACCTGATCACTTTCAAATCACTGACAGAATACTGCCACCTGTGGAACGTATCTTCAGATACAAATCTGATACCTAGTTGTTAAATAATGTATGGATTCATTTGACCTCACATTCTAAAACACACTTTAAATTTTAAACATAGTTTTCAGGAGTTTTATGATCGGTCAGACTGACTCGGTACTGTATTATTCAAACCAAAGAAGATCCCAAAAGACTTAAAGTGAAACTTTGTGCTAATGGCCTGCTGTTGCTTCAGCAGCAGCTTCTCTGTTGAGTAAATGTCATCAGGAAATGCATGTGGCCATCTGTGGATTTTTTTTCTGAATTTGTTATTTACAACATTTACTAAGAAAGAAAATAAGGAATTTTTGAGACGGGACATAACGTCATTACTGCTGTGTGGGATGTAGCCTCATTCTAAAAATATCTACGCTTTTTTTTCTATCAAGGTTTTTTTTCCAAAACTGCATTTTGTAACTGTACATATTCTACAGGGTGTTCCACCACAGTATGTACTTTACGAAGCAGTCTACCTGCTACTGTATCCTTAATAATAAACGTCCAGAAGTGTTCCAACCCACTGGATGCTGCTCAGTTTATCAATAACCATTATATATATTATAGCCCTTAAGTATCGTCATCATCCAATAACATGAAAGTGCTGGTCGCACTGGCTATTTCTCGTGAAGTTGCCTCCTTTTCATGGCACCGTCGGTGATTCACAGTACAGGAGGTCTTCGACATAGATCCATTCCTGCGGTGCAACACGGCTCGATGCTGTTGCCGTAAATTGGAACTCACATACTGTACAGCTCGTATGTAACGTAACACAGTGAAACCATCGTAATGTAGAACATAAAAACATCAGGAGAGTCTGATTTTACTTGGAAGCCATAATGAGGGGCAATAAGTTCCGCAAAAAAACCAACACAAAAGAAACGACGAAACGCCGTCAAGGATTTCGTAAACCGAAGATCCCGGTATTGTTCTTTTCTGTGGCAAGCAAAATGAATGAACTGTGACAAGGTCACGTTTGTATCCTGAAAGAAGTGGGTATAAAACCCTTAGTTAAATTACTTCAGATCTAGCTTACATATAATAGGGAATTAAATGGCCCCCGTTGTTACTATACCATGTTGCAAACTCTGCTCTCACAAACAAAGGGGTGGGGCTAGGATGACTTGCCAGCACTGCTTAGAAAAAATAAAAAAAGTTATATCTATTTTCTGTGTCCAGCCATGGATCATTTCCGGTCATTTCTACATCAGATACAAATCAATTTCCTCTGCTCTCCAGTGTCTTTAAAGCCCATGGTATAAAACACGGGACCTGCTCACACATGAATGTACATCAATGTCACGGGTAGATGATCACATGTCAGGTGCTGGCAGCATGTCCCCCATCAGTCTGAGGGGGGGTGTGTGCAGTGTCTAGCTGGGATTGGATCAAGGGAGGAACAGTAGAGAGGACCATGGATGTTTCAGGATCACAGTTCAGTACGGATGTTGATTAGCTAAGAAAACGTGCAGGGAGTGAGCCACGTTGAACTGGATTCCAGTTCTTGTGGCGAGATTGTGAGTCATTGCACTCATTGAGGCTGTTCCTAAACGCGGCCACAAGTGAAATAAAAATAGGTTTTTCATTCTGCATGCGTGCATAAGACTTCTGTGTGCATACGATTTCTCATGTGTCACACTGCTATTCTTGGGCTTAGTGCGTCAAAACAACATGCTCCGAGTATCGAGGGGAGTAATGGGAATTTGTACCAGAGAGTACTTCCGGAGTTTTGTTTACCAGCTTTGGGGACACATTTTTAACATTATTTTAACATTTAGATCTGCACTTTACAAAGGTGAAAATGTGTCTGATTCAGGCTCCCGTGGAGAACATGTGCATTATGGGATTGTTTTTGAACAGATTTGTTTTGTAATTGAAGAAAAGTGATGAATTTGGATGAAGCCTTGATTGGATTGTTCTGCTCATCCAAATATAGAGCAAGGACCCCCGCTGATGCATTAAGATTTTAAAGGGCATGTTTAAACTAGAGATACACCAACAGAGGGAGTTGGTAAACAAGACTGGAGATACTGTAGCACATTTTTGTTTCTTCTCTAATCCCCCACTGAATTAGGCCTGAAACACACTCTACCACTGATTGATTGATGTATGAATGCATGTAGACAGCAGTCAGTTTGTTAGATAAAAGAGGTGACATGATAGAGAGGCAGTGACTGCAAATCAGTTCATTTTGTACTAAGGGAAAACATCAGTCGCAGCTGAAAATATTTTTAGCCATAACCAATTTTCAATACAGTGTTATTCAGCTGGATCCTCATGCCTCCAATTATAATGGACAATTATTTATTCTTCATCTTCTTTTTGTTTGGTTTGTTTGTTGTTGTTACACGTGTGTATGTGCTTTTAATGATGCGTGCCTCTGTGTGTTTATACTCCAGGTATGACCAGAAAGGCCGTGGTCTTCAGAACCAAACCCTGATTGACACCTGGTCAGCGAGAGGTGCAGCAAATATTAAGTGGAAAACTCTCAGTGACGTTAAAAGTGAACGGCTGGGACATGACGTGAAGGTGCAGTCCACACAGACATACTCACTACTGCAGTTCTCCAAATTCACATGCTGTTAAGGACACCATTAGATTACATTCAGGTGAAACAGTTTAATATACCCTAGCATCTTTTTGTACATATGTGACTTTTGGAACAGGCCTTCACACAGTGCGACTAAAATATCTTTTGTACGCTAAAAAAAAGAAAGTTTTCTCTGGAACTATAACGAGTCAGTCTGTCACACGGGCAGCTGGTTATTGTTTGACGAGGGAGGAATGAAACCCTTACAGATGCCATAGCTTCTCTGCATCAGACAGTTCTTAGTGTGGTTAGACAGGCATGGCCAACACACTGTTTTAGAGTCAGTCCCTCCAAATCGAAGGCTCCAGCACCAGCGATTAATGCGTCACATACTTTGACTTGTTCCACTTACGTCTCCATCACTTTGACTTCCATATTTTAAACAGCGACGGGCCGTAGATCTGTGTTCAGTAGAGTAGCTCCACATGTACAGTCCCACAGATTAGCCTCTGTGTACGAACACTGTCATGGTGCTGCAAACCCCTGCACATCCACACTCAGGTTTCTCTTTATGCTAAATTAGAGCCTTGTATGACTTAATGGATTAGAGCTGTGGCTCCTCTAGTCTGAGCCCCGTACAGACTCAATAAAAACCTCAGATTATGCCGTTCATGGTGTTTTGGGTAAACAATCAGCGTTTCAGCTAAACCTTTTGACAAGCTTGCTTTTTAATTAATTGCATTTATTTGCCAGTTGTCACTGTCATTTCTCACAAAGGAAGCCATGTATGGGAGGCTTCTGGGTTGTTTTTTTTTTTTTACCACTGCCACTTCTAAAAAATGTCTAATTATGTCTCGGAATTGAGGAAGCCTATGGGGCATAACATAACCAGAGGGGAAGTAATGCGGTCTGAGTGGGAAGGTGAGAGACAGAAGGTGTAGAAGAGTCAGTCAGAGCCTCTTAAACCTCTTGTAAGTTATTAAAAGCTGCTGTGAAAGCTAGAAGGAAACAAGGCTGTCGGAAGAAGAAGAAGAAGAAGAAGAAGGGGAGTATAGGGGAGAGGGTGGGGTGACAAATGGAGGTGAGTGACAAGAGATGTTTAGAAAAGGAATGAACATAAGAACCGTTAACTGGCAGAGAGAATAAAGAGCCCGGAAGAATGTGTGTGAGTGTTTAGAAATGGTGTTGTTTTGGGTTTTTTTCCCTTTATCTGTTTTTGCCCTCAGTTTAGTTGTTGTGCCCTTTTTTTCTGCCTTGCACTTTTGCAAACAATTTGAGTAATTGCAGGTCTGCACTGTTGATGTGTTATCATTTACTTTGAGTTTATTTTGGAAATTTGGATAATTGGTTTATACTGCAGCGTTAATGAATGACTTTTACCTCCTTGACAGCTGTGTGACTGTACATATGTGTTTGTGCGCGTGTGCGTGCGAGTGTACGTGTATCAGCCATTTTTTAATTAATGTAGCAGTTTGAGTTTGGGTTTCAGGACAAGTATTAACGTTAGCTCGTGCAGCCACATCAATTATGTGGAGTAGATTTTCACTTGGTTGCCCTTCCACATACAAATTTAATTGCATTTGGGTGCCAGGAGGTGACACGGGGTTTTGCTGTGATAAGAATGGAACAGGTTTTTTTTGTGTGTGAACACGTGTGTATGTGAGTTTCGGGTGTTCCTGCACACACACATTTTCTTATGTTTGTGAGTCATGCGAGTGTCTTTGTGTATCTGTTTTTGACGGGCAGCGTTAGTCATGCCGTTCCTCTTGGTTCTCCACACTGTGCTTAAGGTGAAGACTTTGCCCTAAGGCTTCTGTATTCACACTGGAATACAGGGAGAGCTATGATCCAGATCCTGCTGACCTCCATCCTTATAGTCTCTGTGGCATCTGCAAACATTACAAGTCAAGAACAAGCTCTGAATGAAAGAATCCTCCTGCCATGTCCACCATCTTATCACCCTGCCCTCACCTCTCTAGGCTCCCAGCACTTCAATCTGCCCTTGTGTGTAAAATGCAAAGAGACAGCCATACTGGCAGAAAAACATGGAAGCGGCGCACTGAGGAGAGCTGGCTGTTGCTAAGGGGAAAATATTATAATTAATTAAACCCCCATACTAAGTGTTCCTTCTCTGTGTTGTACATACTGGGTAGACGGATGGTGGACAGATTATGTGTCTATAAGTCAGTGTTAGCCAGAGGGAAGAAAATGTCAGGGAGCTCTAAACCTGACTGACAGTATCTGGGGAGGTTGTGAGGAATCGAGACACTATCAATCACCTCTCACAAGATGCAGTGAACACAGTGGCCTTTTCACATCCACTGCCCGGAATGAGAACTTCAGAGAAGGCGAGGGCTTTTATCATGTAAAATCAGAAACGGCGGGTGTCTTTGTAGACGTGTGGCCAGCAGCCTGACAAGAAACCTTGATGGATTTATTTAGGCCAGCATCAGACGAGAGTCCGGCCCGGTACTCCGTTCTACTTGTTGTTTGAAAGAAGTCACTTCAGATTTGTATTCATTCAGGTTGTATTCCAACCTCCGGTCTAAAAGTCTGTCTTCTGGAGGAGCATGTCGGTTTGGCTTGGCTTGCGTAGCTTTCTCCGTGTTTGTGTGCAGTCACTCAGTGTGTGTGTGTGTGTGTGTGTGTCTATTCCCAACCTAGACACAGTTTGTCCTGTATTTTTTATTTATATGGAAAATGAATGCTCTGCTTCTCCTGGATTAGAATTTTTCCTTCCTTCCCCCAGAAAATGCTTTTTTTTTTCTTTTTTTTTTTCTCTGGGCTACCTTTATCACCAGCGTGATTCCACTGCCGGAGGTGTTGATATCTGTTCAATTACTGCAGCATTGCCGTGTTTTAATAAGGCTCTGTTTGAGTGTGTACAGTTAATTTTAATTAATAACTGAACATTTTGCCCTTTGTATACATACGCAGAAATAATTTGTGGGGGGGGGGGTACCTTTAATTGTGTATGTATACATTAGCACAATTTATGGATTGTTGGAGGGGAGAAAATAAAAACCAGCGCAGTTGTTTTGTTTTCATCCATCCAGCTGAAAATACTTACTGGACTGGAAGACTCTTATCAGCTTCTAAAGCTGTTCCAAGATTGTTGCATCCATCAGCTCTACTGACTCTCTGACAGCACCTGTGCTTATGAAGCACAGAGTAATCCCACTTTTATCATGTTTTATGTTCCTTGTTTTACTTTTTGAAAACAACCTAAGCGGCTTTTTTAATCTCAAAGGGCTCTCTGAGTTCTTTGTACACTAATTGAGGGTTAGCGCAGTGACATATGCTATTAATACAATAAAGAAACATCCCCCTGTTTGAGTGAAGAAGTTTATATTTTTTATCCGGATGTCAATCAATAAAAATCTTTAATCGGAACTATTGCAGAGTGGCTGTAATCGTGATTAATCGTGATGGACCACTATGATAATTTAGGTTTATTAATCATGATCATTCCTGCACATGACAAAACTCTTTATTTTCCTGTGTATTTCTGAAACAGAGAAGTTGGTGGTGTTTGTGCCTCACACTTGTTTTTATTTGTGACTAACAGATGATGGAATTATTGATTTGGACAAATGTGAAGACAATTGTGTGTGACTCAAATCATACCAAAAATATGCGCTAACTATGTAAAAATAGATATTTATATAGAGTTGTTGAATTTTAATCGTTTCTCTGCGTCCTAACAGCGGATTGTAGAACATGTCGTGAGTTTTCCTGGAAACTTCAGCGAAACAGTTTTTCTCCACAGTCTGAGTCGGTCCACAGTCTCTCACCCATCCATTTGACATCTGTGTCAGTCAGTTTGTCAGCATTCGACTTATTTACTCCCCTGTCTGACACGTTTGACCGGATGTCTAAGCCCCCGCTGGATGATATGGTTTTTACAGCTCCTGCAGTGTGTGCCAATAATAATGTGTGTATGGATGATGTATCAGAGCAGCAATAAGTGAATGGATGGTTGAACCACTGGTTATACAGTGAGTGTCGTTCTGTCCATGTGTTAAAATGGGTGATATTATATGAATTAAATGAATGACAGAAAGTTAATGAAATATTATGAAATCAAATCATCAAGGGACCGGCAGTTGCTACAGTACCAGTTAAACAAGAACAAATGTTCCTGAAATAACCGTAGTGAAACACAACCATTTTCATAATTGTACAGTTTTCCATGTTAATGCATTTAGTAATATATTTTTTCAGCTTCTAGAGTGGCTTCCCACCGCAGCTAAGTGCGAGGTGAAGGTACCTTCAAATTAACTGTAGCTTTTTTTCCCCCTTGGTTCAAATTACAGCAGTTTGATGTGATCCAGCAGTTCTTATTGATCTAACAGCCTATTCCCATAATTAAATTACCCTTTTTTTCTCTCTTCTCGCCTCTCTGCCTAGGCTGACTACTTCAGCTGTGTGGCTACAGTGGTGTTCATGCGTAAGGAGAATTGTCTCTACCAGGCCTGTCCGTCTGCACACTGCAGCAAGAAAGTCCTAGACCAACGGAACGGACTGTACTTCTGTGAGAAGTGCAACAGAGAGTTTCGGAACTTTAACTACAGCCTGATACTTTCAGTAAGTGCGGTGTAAATGTAGTGGAGTATTTACTGTGAATTATTCCTTTATTTTTATTTTTTTATACCTAAGGTAAACTTGGCAGATTTAAGCGACAACCAGTGGGTTACCTGCTTCCAAGAGACAGCTGAGACCTTATTGGGTCTCAGTGCAGAAGAACTAGGACAATTAAAAGACACAGTGAGAGTGATGCACACAAACACACCAACCATAATGATTTCTTTTTTTTTAATTGACCTACTATGTGTTGTTAACCTCCTCAGGACGAAGCAGCATTTGATGAAGTCTTCCAGAAGGCCAACTTCAAAACGTACATCTTCAAAAACAAAGTCAAGCTTGAAACATACAATGTAAGTAACAAAAAAAACCAGAGCGGACGGAATTCACAAAAGGAATAAAACAATCAGTACATTTACACAGATGTAGGTCCTTAAATTATTTTCACCCACAGCCATATATGGTCTTGCATTTATCCTTTCCTGGAAGGCTCCTTAAGGTTGATTTGTTCACTATAATGACCACCGTCATGACATTGTACCAAAGGTTAGACCTTGGTTTAACCTTTTTTAGACCATGGCAATGATGTACATCAAAATATAATCAGGAGAATCTATAGGTTAAAATAATATATGTCGAAGTTTGGATACTGTCCTCGGTTGTGTTTATATATGTACGCATGGGCTTTAAGTTTGAAATGTAGTTCTTCGGTGGCAGTTTGTTCACTTCCGTTAATCATCTTCATCTTGCACATGATCACATAGTCGTATGAACGTGATTGACTGAAACCCCTCTGTAAATGATGAAAAGAGAGGAGAGCCCCTGGTGTAAACACAAGGTACAGCACGTTACGTTACGTTTAAATGAATTAGCTTTTAGCCTTCCCCAGAATTTGTTTCAATTAGTCCCATTACTGTTATCATCCACTGAACTTAGCTTCCCTGCATGTGCGGGCCACAAACATGATGCAGGAAAAAAAATAATAATAATGCGTCCAATGAAATCACATCATACTGTCAGTCACACAACATGAATCCGAGATCATTTCAATTAGTGTCACAATGACACCAGAATTGTTTTTGACAGTGTAGCTTTGGATGACAAAACAAATACAGCTGTGGATTCATTTCTCTTAATTAGTCCGTAATTAGCATTTAGCTGTTGTCTGTCTAAGCCTAATTAACTTAATTAGTCTGAAAGTAATTTGCAACAGAGGCAGTGGGAACAATCTGAGAGGAATGATTGGGATTTAGGATGAGCACTAACTGGTCGGCATTCTGACCACATGAAGCAACTGATAACGTCGGACATGCTTCATGTTCTGTGTGGAAAAACTTCTTACATGGAAGAATTACTCAAGGACGAGGTAGAAAAATATAAGTCTGGGATTGGACGCACAATTGTGAGCATTTTTCTTTATAAGAATCTGCCTTAACACCAAGTGTTATATAAACCTGCAGTGGGAAATCTCCACGTACAGAAGAAAATTAGCTCAACTGTCAGTTTACACTAAATTATGCATTGCACTTTCATGGACCAACTAATAAGAAGCTTCACCAGTGGCTGCTGGAGGCTGCATCTTTTATCACAGCAACAATAGTGAATTCTTCAGCTGCACAAACAAACAATATGGAGGCTTTTTTGTTGTTGTTGTTTTGTTTTTTTTTACCGCAGTCTTACCAGTATTGGAAGTCAAACACTGTTTGTCTGCAGGGCAGTAATACAGTATGAAACATGGGGTCATTTAAAATGAGTAGTCGGTGCCTTGAATGTTTGTCGTAAATTGTTCCTCTGAGGAACCGGGGAAAATGTAACAAATTTCAAGGTGTTGTCGAAAATTACATGTGCAACGCAGACCAACGGGAGTCATTATTCACCAGCCTCACCTGGCAACAAAAAAGTTAAAAATAAAAATACAACAATATGTTGTTACCGCTCCACAGTAATTTCCTCTTTTTATTATTATTCAAAAAAGAACCTCCAGGCAGCCTTGGGTTAAAAAAAAAAAAACTCCTACAGTAGAGAAAGTATCAAAATGAAGATTTCATCAAGCTATCATTTTAAATAAAACAGGATAAGTATTTATTTTTAAGCACATTTAAAACACATCACACCAAAACATTATGGTTGTATTAGTGAGAAAACAGGGCATAAATCCACATTTAGTCAATGAAAACAAAATAAATACTTTATTGTGTTCTTCTTTTCCAGATTAATGTAATGTACTAGGACACAATGTTTTGTGGATACATTTTCTGGAAAAATGGCCACTAACATATTTATAACCATTTCAAATAGATGAAATAAGATATACTGTATATATTCAGTTTACTGGCTGGATATTAATTTGCCAAAAAGCAACTCTACAAATATCAACTATGTAAAGGCACTAAAGAAAGAAAATATATAATATTCATAGTAATATCTATATATACAGTAAATACTATTTTTCTGTAAAATCACCACAAACCCAGTAAACCTGGTGCTGGCGTGAGTGAAACTGTCTGCAGTAAATGAATTGATTTTTATCTCAGCGATACATTAGTGGAAGGGGCAGGTTTCTGGCTCATTGGAACAGACAGGGCCACTGAGTGGCACAAACTGACACCTAATACACTCTCCTCACTTCACTAACAGGCCAACGCATTCTGAGCAGCTGGAGTCGACGTTGACATCAGGTCTTTTTCTTTGTCCTTTAGCCCGGGAGAAAGGTCGGAGCAAATGAGGCGTAGGAAGCATATAATATAGTACACACATAAATATTTTAAGAAGCTGCACAAATCACATCATTTACATACGCCGTGGCTCGAATGTCAAAAATAAGTTGTTGTTTAGGCGAATTTGATGCCTGCGACACAAGCCAAACAAAATAAAATAAGACGGAGAAGGTCATAAAAGTAGCACTCTGGGAAGTCTCAGTCAGAACCACAGACGCTGACCCCAGGCCTTAGTGCACATTAATGTCCATGACAACAGTTTGACCAGAAGCTGCAGCTTGGTAAATGTATGTGACTGGTGTGAAATCATTCATGTGTAAATGTTTGTTCCCAGATCACTGACAGAAACCATTCACTGTGTGTTGTAAAAAAAACCAACTAGTTTTTCACAGTAATGTGTGCTTAAATCTCAAAGGATGTGCTATCAGTACTGTTAGCTGCGAGGTATTTGTGTACATGCGTTGTTAGTTTACCCACCACTAGAAGGTGTGTTTTATTCTTCAGGGACGAGCCTGAGCACAGGCAGCGCTCTGAAACTGACTTAGAGAGGGAGGTGAATGTCAGGGTAATGAATAATGTTTTCCTGAATGCAGAATATTCCTCTATGCGCATTGAATTACAAGCCTTCACCCCGTAGTTTGTCGCTTTGGAGAAGGATCGGATTTAAATAAGTTTTCACCTTGATAAAAATTCTGTCCTGACAGACACACGTGTTTGTTTGATTCAGCCGGTTATCCTTGAGGAGAGGAAAATGGAAAACACTAACTGAGGGGCTCCGACTGATGTTTTATCAAGGGTGGGGAAACGTGCGGGCTGTAAGATGAACAGTTTTAGTTTCAGCTAATAATTGCCAGGAAATGCTCTGGATATGAACTGATGTTGTAAGGAGACTGCAGTGTAATTTGATTGTGTTTAGAGCTGTGAGGCTCTGTTACTGCGTGGTTAGGCTGAGCTTTAAGGCTTGATGGACATGAATTTTTCAAATGTAGTATTACCATAAAAGATTCACCAAATTCAGAGCTCATCTAACATAATAAGGGCTCGAAGACTGGCATTGAACCCAGAAATAATTATTTTCCCGAGAAACCATCTCCTGAGAGTCAGGGGAAATCTATTTACATGTTTCTTTTAAGGGGGAAAAAAAGGACATAAAATATTTGGATTGGAAGTAATGATACTTATGTACATTTTAATTTTAATGTGCAAGCCCTGAGTGCTAATGAATAAGACAGACTCCTGTACATTACCGTAGCACAGTGTCTAAAACAGACAAATAATTGAACATTTTAATCATGATTAATACACATGGTATCTGTGTATTAATCATGATTAATCGAGAAAAAAAATTGACATTCTTGAATATTACCCAAAAATAATAGATTTTTTTTTTTTTTTGCTGTAACAAATGAAAAGTTTCATGGAAAAAAATCTTGAAAAATATGTAAAAAAGTAACTTTAAATTTAGCTTAAAAGATTTTAAGGATTTCAGTCATTACTGTGTGACAGTGGCTGCTATTGAAACATCCTTAATCAGTCCACATTTCCTCACAATCCATTTAGCTAATATGTCAGTTGACCTGTTAGCCATGACTTTATTAACTGCCCTGCTCACCTGAGGGAAGTTGGCTGTCTGGCCTAGAGTTGAAGCCTCAACAAACACACATGTGTGGATGGTATTTTAAGCTTGTGCTCTGGTGAAACAAATACACACATATGTATATTGTATGTCCATAACTGTGATGTTACAGACTTTCCACCACAACATGTAACCACTCCATGTCTGTCTTCTGTCCACTCTTCAGGATGAGAGTCGAGTCAAGGTAACAGTAATGGAAGTGAAACCCATTGACCACAGGGAATACAGCAGGACACTCCTCAGCAACATCCGCAAATTGTCCAGCTCTACTCGGTCCCAGTCTTACTAACAGCAGCCTGGTAATTGAACATGTCCGGGGCTGACATGTGATTGGTGTGTCCAACCTTTTCCAGCAGTGAGATAATGGCTTATCTGTCAGGGGCAGCAGAAGGGCGGTCAGAGGTTCATCGGATTAACCAGCTGCCAAACCTTAAAAGTGATGGTATTTAGTTGTTTGCTTCCATTTACAAACTGTTTCTAAAAACACTGTAGATAATGGGCGGGGGGGGGGGGGATCTAGTTTGTTATTTTAAAAAGAGAAATATTTTAAAGAATATTTGGTATAATGTGTTTTTGACCCAGATGGTATTTAACATACAGTGCATCTCGAGATGCCCAATGAAGTCAGATTTCATATTTATATTTTTACATTGAATGCCCTTCAAAAAAAAAACTATTGGATGTTTTTTTTTATTTTATTTTAACTTTATTTTAACTGCTTTTGAAACAGACCTATTTCCTTTAGCATTTCCTATCTTGGTCTAAATCTGTTTATTTATATATGTCTATAACATATACATATTCATATATATCTATAAATAAATCTTTATAAATATATATGCATATACAGTATGTATATATATATATATATATATAAATATATATATATATATATATGGAATCAAGGGTTATTACAAATAGGAAAAGGTTAATTTAAGTAGTTTATTACAGGATTTTTATACCTTTTGCACTTTAATTTTATAGGCACTGCCATATGAAGAAATGTGTAAGACCATCTGGCTTACAGATCAAACAATGTGCTTTTTAACAGCAATAAGACGTTTACACAGTAGCAGTGAAAAGTATTTAAGATAACAAATCAAATAGGAAACCAAAACTGTTGTTCCAGTACCAGGCCATAACTGTTTATCTTGCTTGTTAAAAATCAAAAACGCACCCTCAGTATCAACAGCTTTACAACTAGCTCCAAGTAAACGCTGGTGTGTCACATTTAACTAATCCTTTAGACTCTACGTACATCATTGATGGGAATATTTTGCTTGCAACGGTTACAGCTAACTTTGGTTATTTTGATGTCTGGAAAGGATTTGAGTAATAATAATAAAAAAGACAATTATATGTGAGCGTTATTACATTTTAAATCTGTTGGCATAAGTTAGATTTTAGTTTTTATTTTCTTACTGTACTACGTAGTTCACAGCTTTATGACAGTCTCAAAAATTACAACATGAGTGGCACCTCAGCAGACAGAACACAGGGATGCCTAGTCAATTTTTTTTCCTGCATAAAATTCTCATATACTGTGTTGAGGCTCATATCTCTATGGTGGATGGATGGATGCATAGATAGATGGATAGATACATAGATGCATTGTTCCAAGTAAAGCAGTTGAGTGGAGGCTTCTTTGGTTCTGAATGAGAAGTGTAGCATCTTTAAGAAACCAAGACAGGACCAAGTGCCCTGGATGCCTGAGAACATACATAGATGTGTTGTTAATTTGTTGCTGAGTCATGACCCAACTCATTATCAGTGCTCTTTCCATGCCCCTTCTGGATCCTCATATCTGTTACATCTGAACCTGCTTATTGAGGAGCCTTCTAGAATGTTCTTCGACGACCTTTCCTTCTCACTCTGCACCTCTTCCAACCCTTTTTTGGACTGGGTAGCAGGCATCGCTCTCGTAAATTAGTTTACGTTTTAAAATTAAAAATTAGGTTTGTCAGTGAACACAGTGAAAGTCTCTCATTTGTCCTCTCGCCTGTTGCCAAGTGAGTTTCCACCCTACAGGTTATGGTTTTATTACATTTTCAGACAGAAGGGTTTCTGACAAACTTAAATATTACAATCGATGTACTGTCTTTTCCACTGAACCTCAAAGGCAGTGACGCCTCTGTTGCTCCTCTCTCACCTTTTCCAGCTGCTTTTGTCCAAGTACCTTCACTTCGTGAGTGTGTGTGCGTGTGTATCAACGTTTCAATCTACTCCTTGTTCCCTGTGCACACTGTCAGACACAGGAAGGCGAGGACAGTGTTTTAGCGACGTGCTTTGCTACTAAGGTGTGGCTCAAGGGCATGACACTGATTTATGTTGGCAGCAGGCCGCCTGTGCCTCTCACTGTGAGCACACTCGGCACCATCTCCTGCCTGCTGCCTGCTCTGTTGTCTGTGTGGAAGTTTAGTAGACACACACACACACACACACACACTCTTCTTTTCATCCCAGTGTCACCTTTCCCTCAGGTTTTTCCATTATCCCCCTCTTTGAGTGGTTGAGGAGCTGTAGCCTCTGCATAAATCTGGCCCCCCGCAAGAGCGAGTGGCGCATTTATTAATCCAGATAACGTTTTAATCACAAAGTCAAAAGTATAAAAGGAATTGAGTCAATAACTAGAGGTGTTAGTCATGAACGATCATAAACAAGCGCACATTAACGATTTAAATGACACTTATATTTCAGGCTTTTCCTCACTCTGTCGTCTCACTGGGTGTAAAAATCAAATCACATTTTTTATTCTTCGAGGAACAGCAGATGAAGTGAGAGTAGCTCTCCTTTCTGCTCTGTACATCCACACCAGAGTCCTTGAGATCAAAAAGTAATTTCCAACTTAAAGCCCTGCCGGTGATTGAGACTTAGACAGAGACACGTCAATCTGCATCCAGAGCCGGCCCCGACTCAGTGTAGGACAGTGGAGGGCATGCTGCGGAGATTAGGAGAAATCCTTTTTTTTAATCTGAAGCTGACATGCTAATCAGCCTGGAACTGAATAGTGGGTATAAATTCTGCCTATGAATTTGGGATCTTCAGTCTAGTGAATATGCAGTTGGACTCTATCTGCAGAAACAGCGATGCTACAAGGACAGCAAATGGAGATTATCATAAAGGTCACAGTGTGATCACAGTCTTTCTGTCAGTCGTTTTATTTAAAAGACTCCTCTTCCTCTGAACTACCGTCTCAGAATGTGTGTGTCTTCCTATAAGCAGTAACGTTTTCCTCCACAACCTGCAAATATCATTTTTTTAAACAATAAAGATTACAGATTTATGCTGTCGTGTTAGCCTTTAAATTTGTTTGGAGATTCTACGATTAGATCAGACAACAGCTCTTGTTTTTCTTATCATGATATTCATTTTACATTTCTGTTTCTCTGTTCTATTAAATAATACACAAAGTTGTAAATGTTAGCTTACATACAGTAGTTCTTACAAATGAAAGGTCATTGTTCACCTGCAGCTCATTTTGTTTCGGAAACATTGTGATAAAATCGTAGCATGGGGAATCATATTTTATTGTAAGTTGAGGGAAAACTGCAGTAAATTTCCAAACATTTCCGATCATCACAAACGAAAAAATAACTTTTTTGCGTAGTTAACACAGTCCACTGACAGAAAGTGAGCAGAGCTTTACACTGATCGCGCATTGTGTGCTGTGAAGCAGTGACCCGTTGAGGCCTGATCGATCTGTGCCGTTGAACTGAGAAGTGACACCACCGTGCTCAGCTAAGGGACTTCTTCAGGTCTTTTTGTTTTTACTTGCTCTGTTGTAACCAAACAAATCTTCCAGTAGGTTCTGTTCCCGTCTTAGTCTCTGATATTGGAATACCTCCAAACGGCTGACATTGGCTGACACATGACACTGGCTGACTGGTGTGTAGCTGCTGCCTTGCTTATCGGTGCCAAACGGAGTCAGAGGCTTGTCGAATCGTGCTACTTAGCTGGCTTCCTCCATAGTTCATATTTCTCCAAATAAATGTAAGGATTAGGAGAAGAAGAAAAAAAAAGCACTCCCTCTGCCTATCACCAAGGTTGAAATGCTGCTGAACGTGCATGATAAAACACTAAGGTGGAATTTCATCAGAAATTGTCTCGCTACTCTGATCCAAATAACAACAGGGGCTCAGGGCGACTTGTGGAGGTTGTTGTCCCAGTGGAGAGTCTGCCACTGCATCAGAAATGTTCCCTCCCTTAGTATGCAAAGAAGAAGACATGCATCGATTATGTGAAGAGACACTGTTGCCTTCTCCAGGCCTGAGCTCGTGTGAACTGAACTGAAAGGCGATGGAGTCATAGTCTTAGGGTGAGAAAACCAGACCAGAGTCTCTCTGTTGATTAAAAACATGGCACATGTTGTCAACGCTTGATGTCGTTCATGTTTAATCCATACGTTTCTTTGAACCACCATTAGGAAGTCCTAGGATGTGACCTTCTCTGAGTACCTTTTATTTTCAGCGACACATGCGTGCAGCTGGACTCTAATCGCCCACGTTGGGGCTGTAAAATCTTCTATTCTTTTCACTCTTATGTTGCCTTTTCTATCGTCATTACTTATATATTATATATATAAAATAATAATAATTGTGACCGGGTGTCCCATTTTGCACGGACATGTCAAACATTTACTGCTTTGATGCCCCGCTCGGCCTGATCTCTTCTTTTGACATTTCACCCGCAGACGATTAGTTTCTGCCGCACATACAAATGTTAATGGAATTCCAATTGAGCCTGTCCTTTTCATTACATTATCATAGAGGCTCTATGCTTACGCTGGACCTGCGCTGACCACTTTGTTATTACAAAAATCAGCCATCTGTGATCTGTGAATATTTCAGCGCACAGCTGTATTTCACTCTGTCAGTGGGAGAGAGAATGAGGCTAATTCAGTGTATCTTCAGCTGTGACGGGGCCGGGGTTCAGGAGCGGCAGCTGCATCGTCTCCATCAGCTGCGCTCGTGGATTAACACGTGAGGCACGCGGGTGCCTCCCCACATTTTCATCATGGCTGTTTTCAGCCATCTGTCACACTTCTGGGCTGACATGCTATAGAGACACCATTTACACGTGTCTCCGTTTCATTACATGTCCTACAGGACCCACCTGTCACTGCGAGTATACAAATGTGATCAGTGGGGACAGGACAGGTTGTGTTCGAAGCTCGAGATTTCAAGCACATTTCAAAGGACAAATGGGGTCGTGGTAGGACTGTCCTGATAGCATTTGTCAGATTGTGTTGTGTTTTTGTCAATGCTGAGTACTAGCATTGATCTTCTGGTCTGATTTCATAAATTTCCAAATCACTGGTGGTTGTTGATGTGTAGATGGCACGGCTCTGTGAGGAAAGGGTGTGGGGGGGTGAAGTGTGTAGTTGAGGGCTCAAACCGAACCCTAACCCTAACCATCACATGAGACAACATATCAATTTAATGAAGGAGAAAATACTAAATGATACTAAACAAAAAGTATAAAATGTATGTATCAGGAGTGTATATGTGGAACAGACAGGTGTTGTAGTACTCAGACCTGGGACTGTTGACCTAAAGTTGAACACAAAACCTCAGAGACTCAGCAAGTGTTTTTTTTTTTTTTTTTTTCAGTATCTAGAATCTAAACTCAGAGTGACTGGACTAACAGAGTGATAAACCTGTAGTTTCTTCAACTAAAGAACCAAATTATAGATTTGTTACAGAACTCGGAACAGTCGTTCTGCATGGACTCACACAGTCAAAAGAATTTACACTCTTGACGAACATCAGACACAGCCACGGATGGATGGATGGATGGATGGATGGATGGATATATGGACAGGTTAACAGACAGGAAATGCCCCTACAGCCTTTGAAAGTATCAGAAGAGTGAACTGAAGTGCAACCAAAACAATGCTCACCTACCTGCACAAAGACAACCCCCCATTTGTACAAGTGATATGTACTTAGCTAATTGCAGGACTAGCAGCAATCATGGAGGCCATATGTGCCACTGCCACCAATTCAGCTCGTTCCCATTGTGCTTCCAGTGTGTTTATTATAGGAACCTTTCAGCACTCGAAGAGGAAACAATCATTTGTTTCCTTTTAAACTGCTGAGAGGACAACGCTGCGGTCCACGTGCCACTAATAACAGGTTAAAATGGGCACAGAAAATTGCCCGTGATTTCTCATTTTCCCTTTTGCAGGAGCTGTTGATTTCGAGGGGGTAATAAGAGGCCGTGCAATGTTTTCCCTCCAAAGTTTTCATTAGGTTTTCATTTAAATCTTCGCATGAATCTGAAGCAATTATCATTAGAGAGATTACTGCAGGGGTCTTCCCACACCAGCGAAGTTTGGCATCAAATACCGGAGAGCCCGGCTGGCCCGTGGCTGTGAGAGAGAGAAAATGATTTGAATGTGTGTAAACAATGTGAACATTTCTGGCATGTTCAGACTCAGCACTGATGCCAATGCACATACATTTCAAATGTACTATCACTACTTGTTTAACACTTTAAAGCTTATCTGACTCGGGAAAAAAAAGAGACAACGTTTGGACTTAATTGGCGCTCATTTTGATCTCGAGGATACGCCCAAGCAAATTGCCAAAACGTAAACCAGTCCTTTTGTGAGTCCACGGTTTTCAGTTTTGTAAATTGAAGCGACTGTGTTGTTCAAGCATAACAGTGTCTTAGTCAGTGGATCTGAGTGTGGTTAATTAAAAAGGCCTTTTTATTTCTTCAGCAGCAGGGAGTAGAGATTGTTTTTCTCCAAAACGTAACAACAATTAATAACAGACATGACCTAACACACCACTTTTTACAGTTTAATGTGGTGTTGCACTTTTATTTCTCTGATGTATCGCACGAGGACTTTTAGTATATATAGTGGTTCTCAAACTTTTTCTACTCAAAATCATTGATCCCTCTGAGTACAACCATGATGACATTAGAATACAGCAGCATAGGCCTTCCCTGTTAGCTTCCAC